TTTATTTTTGTTATTATTTTTAATGTAAATATGTTATGTTATCTAATACTACTATTGTATTGCAATATATAAGTAACGACTCTCACATCTTTTTTTGTTTTGTTTTAAAGCTAGATTTTTATAGTAAAAATCATGACAATAATTTTACTTTATAATTTAAATATGCTTAATCTATTTCATTTATACATATAAAACAATAAAAGATAATGTTGTGAAGATGTTATGAGACAATTAAAGCATTAAATATTATTTTGTTATTTTATTTATCATTTTATTCACATTTATTTTTATTTCAAAACAATTTAGCACTTAATTTCTATTAAGAATCAAATATATACAATTAGAATTATTATTTCAAATTAACTCTAATATTTAAAATTATATAAAATAAAAGTATTATGACATTATCACTAAGCAAACAAATTTAATTTCTAATTGTATTAATATATTTATTTCATTATTTTCTATAAAATTTATCTTACTTTTTTATTAAACACTACTTTTTTTTATCAAAACCGCACTTCATTTTTTATCAAAACCGCAATTTTTTTTTGTTAAATCCGCACTTATCCCACAAACCGCATGAACCGCAGTTGTACCGCACCGCACTTTAATTCCGTACCGCTTTTATCAATAAAACCACGGTTACCATTCGGAGCCTTACAGTCTAAGTAGGTTTGTGAATTCAGTGATATCCGACTAACCAGCTTGGTTCAGAGATTAATATTTTTCGGATAAAAAATTGGTATCTTATTGTTAAAAGCTGAAGTACTGAACAAATGAGAGTATTATGTATGCTCTCTGTTCTCATTATGCATTTGGTGTTTCTCTTTGTTTTCTTCACGTATCTGAGCATCTCATACCTTTATAAACAAACCATTAACATTTGCAGTAGTTCTTTATAAATTTTTACCATTCACATTTGTAGTAGTTCTTTATAAAATTTCTGAGGTTTTTTTTCTGTCGTCATTGTTCACTTGTTTTTTGTCGACAGTGGTCGTCATTTTATTGCATTGTCATGGACATGACAAGTAGTCAACAACTACGTAGTCTTTCTTTATAATTTGATATTTTGTTTCTGTTCACTTTATTAAAACATTGCCGAAACTGACACACAACTACATTTTATATTTTCTGTTTTCTCTGTAACTATACATACATGTGTTACAAAAAAAAAACTAGCAATTACATAATCGAGAAGTTAGTGAGACGTTTCTCAAACCAAAAATACTAATACTCTATATAATTTTAACTTTATAACTAGACTTTAATTTGGACAACCACGCAAATATTTGATTTCACACACACACACACACATATATATATATACAAATTTTAAAACTAAACTAGATTTAGTATCTATGTGAGTTGGAATCACGATAGAGATTAAAACCTGCAGGCTGCAGATAAGAACCGTATCTCTTTCTTTGACACTTACATTTTTTCTCATTAGTTATCTCTTCTTAGAGTTGATATTGAATGAAACAGAGAACTATATTTTAAAGTACTTGATATATTATATGATGAAACCACAAGGTTGTAGTTTAGTGGTAGATGGATTTTAGGAAACGGTTACAATCACTAGTCACCATAGTTATTTTGCTAATAATGTTAAGTTGAACTCATGGATCATGCGACTACCAATCTCACCCTTCTCTCTTGGTAAAAGGAAGTTTTTTTTTTTTCATTTTGCTCAGTGAATTTCTCTCTTTAGTGAATTTGAGCTCTATCAAAACTATGTAATGGCACTTGCAAGATTTTCACAAATCTCTAGCGGCAGCAAAAAGGTAGACATAATCTATGTTGGAAGAGTTAGCAAAATAAATTTAATCAAAAATTAGTTTCCTCCTTTAGAGAGCTATCTTCCTGTCCCTTCATTCATCCTATTCATTCATTTTTCCTTGAGAAATGAAAAGAGTTTGCAATAATTAGATATGCTAATGTATTCTGAGATTCCTAAGTACGTTTCCATTCCTCTTTCATTCTGGATTCCAAATATATTTTCAATCTGCTTTCTAACATTTGCGCCGACCCTCTTATCCAAGAGTAAAGAAGATTTGTCAAAGTTAATACTTTGGCATGATGTTTGTCTATATTTTCTGACTACTTTCATTACTTCTTCACATTCACGGGGCTCCGTCTTACAAAAGAACAGGCTATCATCAGCCAAGAGAAGGTGGGATACTAAAGGACACGCGCGTGTACACACATCCCCGTTATCTACATTTGATTCTCTGCATGATTAAGAAGGCTAACGAGCCCTTCCGTGCATAAAATAAAATTGAACAGAGACAAAGGATTTTCTTGACGTAGATCTCTCTCTGAAACAATGTTTCCAATTGGTTGACAATTCATAAGCACCTTGTACTTAACCGAAGTGAAACAACAAATTATCCATATAATCTAACCTTATGAAAATCCCATATTCTACATAACTTCCTTGATGAACGGCCATTCATCCTATCACACTCCTTGCTCATATCCATCTTGATGGCTATCCTTTTGTTACGTCCACTTGGTTTAGTTCTCAGAGCATGGAACATTTTCTGGACAACCATAATGTTGTCTGAGATTCGTTGTCCAGCAACATAGGCTGACTGAGTTTCTGAAATTTTGTCTGGTAGCACTTTCTTTAGTATGTGGCATAAGATCTTAGAGACTATCTTGTAGCTAACATTACACAACCTAATGTGACGGAACTGAGACATCTCATTCGGCTGAATCACCTTCGGGATGAGACGGATATTTGTGTCATTTAGTCCACTCACCATCGACCGTTAAAAAACGAATTGGTTAACCATATGCGCTAAGTCATCTTTTACTATATCCCATAATTTCTGATAAAAAGAGCTGTCATCTCATCTGATCCTAGAGTGTTCTTTGGATACATAGAAAATAACACTAGTTTGACCTTCCATCCATTGTCTGGGACAGTAAGATACTCATTAATTGACTCAGTAATCATTGTAGATACCTCGGATAACGCATCATCGATATCTTTTGGGTTTGAGGATTCAAGGATTTGCCTAAAGTAGCTAGCAGCAATGGCTATCAACCTTTCTTCATCCTCAACCACACTTCCATTTTTTTTTTTTTTTTTTGAATTGAATTGAATATTAAATTTAATTCAAAAAGAAAAACCCTTGTTACATCCATGTGTTACCTTTCTAAAAATCTAGAAAACAAGAAAGATAAAACAACCAAGAAATCTGAACAAGTGTATTCAAGAACAACCATCTCCACAGCTCTATCTCCTTCAAACCAGATTTACTTAAGAAGAAATCAATTACTTAGCACTCACTCCTACTAAATAACCAGCTCTCACTCCTACTGGAACCAGCCCTCACTCCTACTGGTTTTGATAACTCCTCAAGTCCTCTTAGCACTCACTCCTACTAAGAGCCAGCCCTCACTCCTACTGGATCAAATCTGTTCAAACTCCCCGCCTATACATCAAACTCTGAACCCCTGCTTTCTCAAGTTTTACCTTATCTTGAAGCAAACCAGTATTGCATACCATCTCCAAGTTTCCCATCACCTTTTCTTTGAACCAAAGTGAGCTTATTCCTCATATTTTTGTCAAGAATTTTTGCCAAAAGAGAAGCTGGAACCTCAGCCTCACCATGTTTTCTTCTATTCCTCTCCCTCCAAATCATGTAAACAGCGGCTTGAAACATGTAGCTGATAATAAACGAGCTCACTTTGCTCCTTGATTTATCTCCCATAATCCTTAAAATGTCATCCCATTTCACTGTGAAATGGTCCAACAAAACTCCCTTCATTAAGATACTCCAAACGTGAGAAGAATACTCACACTCGAAAAATAAATGCTTAAGAGATTCCAAAGTCAAAATTAAGAATACCACACTTCCATTTACATCTATAAATTGTGTGATTTTATTCCTTGTTCTCCTTTGCTTTGTCAATCCATGATTTTTTTTTTTTTGTGTTTCTATCGCCTTCTTTGAGTTAAAAAATTTTGACTTTTTTTTTCCAGAACATCTCCTCTTTCTTAAGAGCATCAGATAGTTTTTTCAAAGTTTTGCTATCTCTTCGATCGTGGCATCATCATTCGAGTACATTCTCTCCCCTTTCTCTTTAAGTACTTCCATAAGGTTTTTCTGAATTCTAGTTGTGTTGTCTCCTCTACATGCTTAAGGCTTTATTGCAACTCGAAATATGCTGCATGATATTTGCATGAGGAACAAAGATCTAGAGATTTTCATCCATCAAAAATGACTTGCCTAAGTTCTTTATTTTCTAGTCAAATTTGATTTTTTTTTATTTCTTTGTTTGTTTTGTAAGAATGCTTGCTAGGATTGAATGATGATACGATCCCCACAACCATATGTCCTTTCAGTTATTATTAAGATTCTATATATATATAATTAGTATTGTTTAAATATGAATATCTCAGTTTTACAAAATATTCCAACCAAAAACATTTTATTCATATATTTTCAGTTGAATTTCTCTTAACATTAAAATAACTATAGTTAAATATATATATATATATATATATATAACACCAATGTTAGATATTACCATTAAAGATAGTTTTGGTATCTCATAATTAATAATTAAATTTTAGATCAAGTAAACAAATCAATTTACAACACATCATATCAAAGTGTCTCCTTTTTATTTTGGTTGAAATCTCGGATGAGAACCTCATAGTTTCATACCAAAGTTTAATATTGTTTTGTAATTTTTGGTAATTTAGTTGTAAATGTTTCTAAAAACTTAAAACAGAATTAGTTTTCAAGATTTTTAAAACATTAAGATTTTTTTTTATTTTCCCTTCTCGTCTTTGGTGATTGTCCACAAATAAAAATAAAATATTGCCATACAGCTTGTAGTCAAGTGGAGGCAGTTGGTCATCAAATCAAAATTCGATAAACTCGGCTTTGGCCTCTGTTTTTTCCCCTATAAAATAGCAATAAGTATGAACGTTACAACCACACTCTCAAACAAACTCTTCTATCAATCTTATAACCACCATGTCAAACTATCTTCAAGAGCCCTTACCCACTTACCCTAAACCGGTTTTAACCAAAGAAGAGCAAGAAGTCGACGAGAAGATGGTGAGCTTGCAAGCGGAGTGTATTGTCAACACCGTGGCTTTCCCCATGGTTCTCAAAGCCGCCTTTGAGCTTGGAGTCATCGACACAGTCGCTGCAGCAGGCGACGGAGCGTGGCTCTCACCGTATGAGATAGCTCGTAGTCTACCAACCAAACCCACTAACCCGGAGGCGCCAGTGTTGCTTGACCGGATGCTGCGGTTACTCGTCAGCCACTCTATTTTGAAGTGCCGTATGGTTGAAGGTAAAGAAAACGGTATGGAGAGGGTATATGCAACCGAACCGGTTTGCAAGTCTTTTTTGAGAGATAGTGACGGTTATGGTTCTCTTGTTTCTCTGTTTATGTTGCTCCAGAGTGAAGTGGTTTTCAAGACTTGGTACGTACTTCTTTATTCTGTAAATGAGTATTAAACCAGTCAATAAACCTAATTAAACCGAAACAACGAATATTTAACAAATTATAAATAATTTTTTTTCACAGGACAAATCTTAAAGATGTGATACTAGAAGGAAGAGGTGCATTCAGCTCTGCCCACGGCATGGCAATTTTTGAATACATGAAGTCGGGTGGAGAATTTGCTGAAATGTTTAATCGTACCATGACAGAACATTCCACCATGATTATGAAGAAGGTTTTAGAAGTTTACAAAGGATTTGAAGATGTTAACACTTTGGTAGATGTTGGAGGATCAAGTGGAACTACATTAGGTCTAGTCACTTCCAAGTATCCTCATATCAAGGGTGTTAATTTTGACTTACCTCAGGTTTTAACCAATGCTCCATTGTATCCAGGTACAGAACGACATAATATTTTTGGTATGTTATATGATGAAGTGCCTCTCAGACCTTTTATTTTATTTTTTTTTTAATTTGCTAATTATAGGAGTGGAGCATGTCTCTGGAGACATGTTTATAGAAGTTCCCAAAGGAGATGCAATCTTTATGAAGGCAAGTATAAATATAATATATATGAACGTAACATTAGATTTGATATCCTCGAGTTTTGTTGAAGTCCATTATTTCTAAAATAATGTGGTTAAATTGTTGATAGTGGATACTACATGATTGGACGGACGAACATTGCTTAACGCTTCTTAAAAATTGTTGGAAGAGCCTACCGGAAAATGGAAAAGTGATCATTGTAGATTTGATTACACCAACAGAACCAAAGAGTGGTGACCTTTCCTCTAACTATATGTTTGGTATGGACATGTTGGTGCTAGCACTATACGATGGCGCTAAAGAGAGATCGTTTTCACAGCTGGAGAATTTAGCCTTTGGTTCAGGTTTTCGTCGATGTGAAGTTGTTTGTGGTGTCCATTCATATTCTGTTATGGAATTCCACAAATAGATTTGGAATCTACGAAAACAAGTGACTGGCCAACTGAATAAATGATGATGATATGTGCCTCTTTTAATGATTTTATTGCATGTAATAAGTTTTATGGTGTTGGCTTGCTCAATATTTTACTTTCAGTTTGTGGTGTTTGCTAAGTAATAACGGAGTGTAATGACTCTGATTGGTTTGAAAGTGTGTTTTGCATTATTTTGGTAATTGAGACATTGTGTCCTATGCTTGAACTTTTGTTGGAAAATCATGTTCCTTTGTCTAAAAACATTTCTAAATTGTTTTAGTAAAGGAATATGAAATAATCTTATTTTAGTTTCTTTTTCAAAAAAGGTTTTATTAAATGATGTACCCTATAAAATTGATTACACATTTACAATACTATACGTAGTGGTGGATCTAAAAAAGTTTTTAGTTGGAGGCACAATACTTAAAACAAAACAAAAATGTTATGAGCTGGGGATACGGGATTGAAACAATATATCTATCTATATATAGAGTATAGTTTCTTCCCTTTTGGAAGTGTCACCTCAATAAATAGTGAAGGGAGGAAGTGAAACCTGCCTAGTTCTCATTTAGTTTAGTTTATTTTCGTTTGGATTCTATCTGGGCTTTCTAGGGCTAAACTGAACGGTTTGGGTAATTAGTTATTTTGACCATTGTCACTTTCATCGTCTTCACCGATGGCAACCTTTTAGTTCGGGTTCATCATGTTCTCGAGCTCTATTTAGTTTAATCGTCAATGGAGTTTTGGTAGCGGTGATGTGAGAATAATGCTGATGACGTATCCTTAGACCAAGCTGTTGTCTTGTCATTTCGTCTGGATTATCTTCTCTCTCAAAACCGTTAAACGGTGCATTGAACACTGCCATTAATGTCTTCCTTAACTCCTTCTACCCACTCCAAGAACGATTCATCATTCAATGTATCTTTCCTCTCTTTCAGAAGTTGGATCTATAGCTATAAAAAGGTGAGTCTTGGACCGTAAACAGATCATTTTGTGACGAACAATGTGAGGAAAAAACTACGTTTTCCCTGATTACGGTGCTCGATTAATAGGAACTCCACGCGGAGAGATTCTGCAACAGTTGTTTCCTCTTCCGTCTCTGATAAGCACATCAGAGCTGTTCTCTCGAGAGAGAGACGGCATGGCGCTGTGAAGCCAAACTCTATGATGACCCCTGAATGTAGCCAAGCAGAAGGAGGCGGAGTGGTTTTGGATACCTATGGTGATGAATTTGGTCATGACCATTTTGGCAAAAGTTATTCCAAAATCAAAGGTTAGTGCTTTTTGATTTGATGTCTTCTGGTTCTGTAGTAATGGTGATGAGATCTCTAAGATTCTTTTGTAATTTTTCGTGTAGATCTGAGGAGAGAAGTGAAGATTTTGAGAGCTTTGCCTGGTCATGATAACCTTCCTCATTTCTATGATGCTTATGAGGATCATGATAATGTCTATATAGTAATGGAGTAAGTAAGCTCTCTTTAACCTCAGAGTTTATTCCAACAGTGTTTAACTAAAATGGTTTTGTTTTTTTTTAGGCTATTTGAAGGAGTAGAGCTTTTAGATAGAATACTCTCAAGGTAAAGGATTGTTTGTTTTATTAGTTTCTGTTTTGTGATCACTTTATATTCAGTAATGTCTTTTGGTTCTGTAGTGATGAGATCTGATGGATTGTGGTGTGTTTTATATGCAAAGTTGGGAAGTATAGGGAGGAAGACGCATAGACTGTTATGATACAAATATTGTATGTGATTGCATTTTCTCATCTCCAAGGTGCTGTACACCGAGATCTACTTCTGCTTATACTTTTGATGTTTTATTGACAACTTATTGACGTTTACTTACATTTGTTTGCTTAATATTTTTTTGTTTACCTAAAAAGAAACACACCTAGATTTTGGCTTTGTTAGATTACAATTAGGCGAGAATCAACTCTCTCTATGAGGGATGATGATTAAATCAAGTTGAAAAAAAAATATAGAAGCTTAAATCTTTATACTAACGCCAATTGAAATTCATCATTACCCCTACACATCTATTTGCTAATCTGCGTTAAGATTTACCTCTGGGACAAGCAGCCATAGAATTGTGAAATGGAAATTCAGTGCAACTCACGAAGTGTCAAGCAAATTGTGAAACACAAAAGAATTTCCAGGTTTCAGGTATGCTTTGGAAACTTGGTATAGAGACTCTTGATATGACTTTTAGGAATACAAAATGATTGATTTGTATCTTCTTATCTTCGCTTATAGAAATACACTTAAATTATGCACTTACTATTCAATCATGGTAGTGGCTAAAGATTGCAATCAACTTTGCAAAAGAAACAAAAAGTAATCTTAATTTGCGACTTCTTCGAACCAACAAATCAGTAACATTCACATAGAAATAGTGACTTTAAGTTATGAGAAACTGAGTTTAAGAGTTTTTAGAAACTTTTAACCCAAAGCTTTATTTGCTGGCTCCATGGATTTATGTTTACCGTGTTTTATAAAACGTGGACCAATGTGACCATTGATATCAAAAGAAAATATATTTGATACACACACATACATGCTTATTTTTTTGTTTCCTGAAGCATGAAGGTTTGTTTCCATATAAACTTAAGATTTCTGCTGAGTTGATCTTTCTTTGCCCGTGTAAACTTTTCTAATTTTGTTGAACACATAGTTTTAGTTGGGTTCAAAGAAAACTTATTGGAACAAAACATGAGTCGAACTACAGATTTATGTTAGTAAATATTCTTGTACAATGAAGAAATTTTTTGGTCAACATACAGCAAAGACTAATAAATTAACATACTTTGCATAGATCAATGATTTTTTGATCCACCTTCTGATTTTACTGTAGAAGATTCATTCCCCAAAACACGTATATAAAAACTACTTAATATATATAGATGGTCAATGCTTCTGATTGTAAAATCAAGTGATCCGCCATTCACAAATAATGATATCAACTGAACTGAGTAAAGCTATCAGAAAATTTGAAAGCTTACCGACGGTAACGGAGAAAGTGAATTGGGACAATAGAAAAAAACAGCTAAGAGCGGAAAGCAAGACTTTTTAGTAGGATATGGGCTTTTAATTAAATTGGGGATTTAGGTTAAATTAAACTTGTATTCTTTAGTTATTGTTCTGAAATTTTCAAATTATCTTTGTCATACAAGAAACACTGTATAATAATAAAATTCTTATATATCTAAATAACAAGTAAAGTATATCTTGCGTATAGCGCAGATCAACCCTAGTAACTAAATAATCAACACATATGTATTTCTAACTAATTTGGGGACTGAATAATATGTACATATTAACCACTAATACTTTGGGAGTTATAAACAAATTTTTTATCTCCATATTTCCAGGATTGGCTCTGTTTGCAGCCAACTAATTGTCTATTAATGTTGTTTTAGGTTGGTGTGTTCCCTAAGTTATCCGGCGAGGTGTTTGATTCTTTCATGGCCCTTGCTGAGAAAATGCGCGATGACTATGTAACAGGATAAACCGGTTACCTTTTTGGGTTAACTCATTAATCTTTGGTTTAGTTTTATGGTTTAGTTATTTGGTTTAATAAACACTATATGTAATCATTTTCTCATTACGAGAGAATCAATCAAAAACATAAACTTTATCTTCTTCCTTAAACCCTAACTCTCTGTTCATCATCTTCATCATCCATTATTAAAAATCTCTGCTCTTCGGGATGATCCTTCTTCCTTCGTGGTCGTCCTCTAGACTTTGATTTACCGGTTCTCGAGCTCGCGGTGAGCTTCTGGATCGGATCTATCGGTTACACTCAGACTTACTGTCTCATTGGTATCAGAGCCTTACGGTTCTCGGATCGAAGCTATGTATCAACGAGTTAACGGGATGACCTCGTTCTTACCATCAAAACAACAAGCCCAAGCTCTGTTACTCAAGATGGAGTTGGAACGGAAACAGGCAGAGGAGGATAAATGATAAGCACGAGCTTATCTCTGTAACAGAAAGGGATTAGATAAGGATAAGAAGGAGAATTAGAGAGAAAGAAGATAATGTTTGATATTAATTCTTGGATAAACATATCATTAGGGACACTCCCCCTTAAGTAGCTGAATTACACATAAGACATAGTATTATTTATGGTATAAAGTCGTCAGACCCTCCAATACAACTGGAGTCTTTCTTCTTCATTTCCACTTGTTTCTTCAACCGTCACTTTTGTTCCTCTTAGACCTAGCTCTCTTCTGAGTGAAAGCTAAAGGAACTGCTAGCTTATCAATACCCTTCCTCAGAAGACACAGCTTGTCCTCAAGCTGGAAGTGAGGATATTGGTCCGCCAAACGCTTCACCGACTCCCACGAACACTCAAACTCAGGAAGACCTTTCCACTTCACCAACACTTCAGCAGTCTGTTCCTTCTGAGACTTCCTGATATCCAACAACTCTTCCGGTTCGGTGTTCCACTCCAGGGAGGACGAAAGGATTAAAGGGAGCTCCTGAATTTTGTAATGAGGTTCCACTGCCTTCTTGAGCTGAGACACATGGAACACCGGGTGGATCAAACTCGAAGCCGGAAGGACTAACTTGTATGCGACTTTGCCCACTCTCTTCTCAATCTGGTAAGGACCAAAGTAACGCGGAGCGAGCTTCTCTACCCGTCGCATGGCCACGGTGATCTGCCTGTAGGGTCTCAGTTTCAGATACACCCAGTCACCAACCTCAAACTCCACATCACGATGCTTCTTATTGGCTGAAGACTGCATCCTAGCTTGCGCACTCAACAAGTTGTCTTTCAGCTCCTGTAATAGTCCATCTCTGTTCTGTACCATTTCCTCCACTTGAGCATTAGCAGTAGGAATGTCACCAAAGCGTAGCAGCCTAGGAGGGTCTCTCCCATACAAAGCTCGGAAAGGGGTGGTGTTGGTCGAATAATGGTGCGAGGTGTTGTACCAATACTCCGCCCACGGCAACCACTGACTCCAAGACGAGGGTCTCCTTCCTGCAAAACAGCGCAAGTAAGCCTCCAAACACCTATTAACCACCTCCGTTTGGCCATCGGATTGCGGATGGTAAGCTGTACTCTTGTGCAGTGCAGTGCCTTGGCTACTGAACAACTCAGACCAGAACTTACTGAGGAAGACCTTGTCCCTGTCAGATACCATGGTCTCTGGAAAACCATTAAGTTTCACCACCTATTTCACAAATACTTCAGCAACACTCTTTGCGGAGAAGGGATGCTTGATAGGGATGAAGTGAGCATTTTTAGTTAACCTGTCTACCACCACTAGAATGGCATCAAAGTTTCGAGAAAGTGGTAATCCCTCCACAAAATCAAGGCTGATATCTGACCAGACTTGAGACGGAATGGGCAACAGAGAGAGAAGCCCTGCAGGTGACAGCGTCGAGTATTTGTTCTGCTGGCAAATCTCACACCCCTTGATAAACTATGTGATATCCCCCCTCATTCCTTTCCAAAACACCTCCCTTGCCATCCTTTTGAACGTCTTTAACACGCCCTCATGACCTCCAATGGCACTATCATGGAATTGTTTCATTAATGATGGGATGAAGGGTGAATTTTCAGGAATTACCAGCCTCCGGTCCTTGAACAAAAGTCCTTTCTCCAAACTGTAACCCTCATAGTCAGACTTCCCTTCTTGAATGTTCTGCAATATCACTTGCAGCGATTCATCATTCTTCACCTGCCTCACCAACTCATCCATATCAATGGTTAAAGGTGCAGTCAGCTGGAACTCCATCATCTCTCCTGCAAACTCTCCATCTCCAACTCGTCGCGATAACGCATCTGCCACTCGGTTATCCTTACCCGGTCTATACTCTGTGGTGTAGTTTAACCCCAAGAGTTTAGAAGCCCACTTATGCTGTTCAACAGTCACTGCCCTCTGCTCCAACAAGTGTCGAAGACTCTTCTGATCTGTCCGTATGGTGAATTTGTGGCCTGTTAGGTAATGCCTCCACTTGGTCACCGCAAAAACAATGGCTAAGAGCTCTCTCTCATACACTGATTTTACTCGACCCTTGCTTGAGAATCCCTTACTGATGAAGGCCACTGGACGATTTCCCTGAGATAACACTGCCCCAATTCCTACTCCTGAAGCATCTGTCTCGACAACAAAAGGCTGACTAAAGTCAGGTAACACCAGTACTGGCAGCCTCATCATCGCCTTGAGTTGATTCTGACGCTCTTCCGCCTTTTGTTCGAGCTCCAGGAATCGCTGATGGTTTGCTTCGGCTTCCGCCTTCATCTGACCTTCGATCGCAGAGATCCGTTCCGCATTAGCTGCGTTTGAATCCGCTTTCGGGGCCATCTTCAGGCTCTGATACCAATGATAAGCACGAGCTTATCTCTGTAACAGAAAGGGATTAGATAAGGATAAGAAGGA